ACATCACTGTCCAGAGCCCATTGGTTTGGAGTCAAATACTGTAGGATAAATCCAGATAAAACCGATTCCCTGAGCTGTTTGCTGCAGCTCCTTGCCACAATCTCTACTTGACACCTTCATCACTCAACCTCTAAAATATTCAGTTAAACCATTGCAGAATAAGAGAAATAGCATCATTTTTGAGGCAGCAAGCAGAGTAACGGATAAATATTTGTCCCAGTTGTGAACATGCAGCTTCTGACATTTGCATTTCTGCCTTCACTAATTATTGTGAAGTCGAGGTACCATAAACATACTGATGGTGCCAAGGGCCTTGAAAATCAGCATTTAGAGAGGAATGGGAATAGAGACAGCCGTCTTCTGATTGCAAGGCAGCCTGAGGTCTAAATGGCAACAAAACGTTATACATAACGTCTGATTCACTGTGTGGAGAATGTAAAGAATTGAGACCTCCCGACACAGTTTACATTGGCCCTTTTTATGACTAATTGTGCAGAAAATAGCTCTGCTTGTAGTGTGCATGGAAACAGTTCAGGTTTCTGCTGTGTGTCAGCTAATGGGCTAGCAAGGCTTTTTTAGCACAACTTCAAAGGCTCTAGCAATGGAGGTCCTTTGTGAGGGAATTATCTCCTGCTCCTTTGTACCCCTTTATCCCACTAAGCCATGGAACAAAGAATTGTGAAACGAAGAGACAAAGTAATTTGTGGGAGATCTTGAGATCTAGATAAAGCACATAGAATTTGCTTAGAAACATTTTTCCTGCTTCTTCCATCCAAACAAGATTGTACTTATGAGTGTAGGAACACCCAAGTTCATTTAACTTTTCAAGGATGCAACCTTATGCTTGATTATGCTATAGATGGGGTCACCAAGATGTCCCAAATGGTAAAGGGGACCTTTAGTTTCAAAGGTCAATTAGAAAACGCTCAGTTGCAACTGTTAGATCTGGCTGAGAAGCATACTTTTCTCCTGACCCCAGCACATTCTGCTCAAAGAGGAGGAAAATCTACTTTCTCAGGAGTGTGCCTACCTGCACACACTTTATGCAAACCTTGCATTTTCTATTACCTGTTTAGCTTTTGTTGTTGTTTGTAACAAAGTGGCTTATTCTTTCTTCCTTGCATTGAAAAATGAAACCTTGGGGAGACAAGGAAATGCATTACATGCATCTATTTTGTGTAGTACAAAGCACAGTTCTTAAATAAAAAGAAGAAACGGGGATGGGAGACGTTTGATTAATGTTAACAACCATGCTGTGTAACGTATTCATCCAGTGTGTCCAGTCATAGATATTCTGTCTCAGAAACACAAAACACCAGACAAAGGAGACAAAAATCTTGCCCTCAATCAAACATAGAAGCTCACAGCAAATGCTGTGAGTTGTCCTCTGTGTTTGTATTCAAACTCCAATAAAACTCTTTGTCACTTGTCGGTTGTCCTCAAGACCATCTCAGGAATATTTGCTTATCCTTAGGGGACAGGAAGACTGCATTCACACCTTTCCTGGTGAGCTGAAGTGCGTAACAGAGTAAATGTTAAATGTAAATGCATGAAAACTTGCAAATAGTTAACTAGATAGTTTGTTCCAATACTTCAGAGTATTTGCCTCGTATCATCACAAATATCTTGAGTATAAATACGTAATGGACTGTTGTGTCAATATTGTGTTTTATTTGAAGAAATTATTTTTTATTTTCTTATTTTTATATTAAACGATTGGGAGAGGCTTTCTTGTATATCTTCATACTCAGGTACTTTCAAATTCTTATCTAGAAAAATCTTTTCTGTCTGCTTTCTCTCCTATTCCCATACTCGCATGTAATTCCCAAGGCAGGCAGTGTTCTGACCTCTTGGATCCAGCTTTCAACAGCTGTCAAGGTGAATTTAGTTACCACTGCAAGCATAGTTTATCCAGCAGGTTTACAGTGAAGAGGGGAATAGAGACACAGAAGCAAGAGCATTACTCTGTGCCTCAAAGTTATCTGATCTACCTCTGGATGCAAAAACTTCTCAATACCTTTTGGAATGAAATTTTCTGTTCAGGGAGAGAATTGTTTTTGAAGTTTTTAGTAGAAGCGCACACATTTTCATACATATGCACATATGAAGTACACATAAAATTTGAGTATATATAAATGAAATCCACTGATGTTGTAACTAATCTGGCAATTATTACATATTGCGTTTGTACATATGGGCAGGGACTTCTTACTGACCAAATCCATGCTGAACATAAGTGCTTCACATCCATAGGTTAATGTCTTTTTTATTGCATGCCAATAAAAGTACTATATTGTTGTCAATATTCAACATCAATGCTTATCTCAACTTGTATGTGACCATAGGGAGCTGTTTTATGTAAGACATTTCTCATATTGAAAGTCATCCTAGATTTTAAAGCAAGATAGGCCTATCAGCAGGAAGAAAGCCAAAACATTTCTTCCAAGAATTCTTTTAGCCTTGGAACTACAATGACAAACGACTTCATATTTCTTTTGACCAAACTGCATGGGATCTCCCAGGTGCCACCTTTTTCCACAGAGCTTACCTTACTCTTCCACATATTCCCGGTCCTTTGCACTTTGGAAATTTCTGCATCCAGAGCTAGAGTGGGAAAGGTGCTGGAGAGTCTACGTTTTCCTCTGCTGTCATGTGCTGCAGGTCCCAGTGTCATCATGGTCTCAACAAAATGGGCAGGAGCAGGAGGCCAGGAGGTGTCACTTTCAGTCTCATGCTTGGCTTGAAAAGGATTTGCATGTTTTGCTGGGGGAGCTGATGTTGGTGTAGGCCTGCCATTTAGAGGATGAGGAACTGTAACTATTGCATAGTTTCCCTTTTTTCCCCTGGATTCAAAGCAGTTAAAATCGGGTTCTTTTGGGTACTGTCCTGATGTCAAAGATTTGCTGGATCTAGGACAACTTATTTCTATTAAGAAATCTCTTGCCATTTAAAACTGCTTCAGGGAAAGGAGAGCATTGGATTTTGGACAGAAAGGTCCCTGACCTTGACGCCGTTGGTTTTGATTCCTCACTGTCACTTGCCAGTGACAGAACTGTGGCTGTTGTTTGCTTTGGCCACTACATAAAAAAACAGGATATGATCAAATCCAGTTAATCACTCACAAATGTCTCATTTCTTGAATCCTGAGGGTGTGTAAAACATTTTTGGGACTGCTCTCTGTTCCTTTGGCTTTTATTATAAGTAAGCTAAGGGAAAATCAAATTTTGAGTAGTCTTAAAAAGAAGCGGAGGAATTCTGGAACACGTTAGAGCTCTGCAAATGTATGTTTAATCATTTAAAGAAATGTCTTTTGGCTAAAAGCACTTACCAGTCCTTGCAAGTTGTGCTAAAAGCCGTTCAACTACATCATTCTCACAACTGATGCGAATTAGCGCCCTTGTTGGCAGTGTAAGCAGAGCGAAGCAGGCTTAAGGAATACTGGAGACCGAATTACTCTTACATTCGTTGTGACTTTGTACAGCATGGGTGAAATGTCCTAGGGCTGACTCTGCTCACAGTTACATTAAGTCATCATATAGTGGTATTGATCAGTATTAAAGAATTTTCTTTCCAGTTTTTTCCGATGACTGCATGAACAGAGAGAGACTCAGGCATGTCTTGCCTGCCTTGTTTTTTTCTCTGTGAAAACCATTTGATTCTGAATTGGAGGCAGATAGTTAGTTACTGGCATCTCTGTATTAAATACATATTTAATATTTATCCTGTGCTTAAGGTGTGCGTACCCCCTCTGGACAGCAAGCTCTAAGCAAACCAGAGCAGTGCACTTCTACATGTGGCACGTGGTGGAACTTGCTGCTGCAAGAAGTCATGGGGCAAAATGTAGATGGAGGCAGAGGTCTGAGTGCATTCATGGAGAACTGGTCTATTCAGAGCTGGCAGTGAGACGTGTTGACCTGGCTATAAATGAGTCACCCAGCCATGCAGAGATAGAAGTTAAAGGATGTAATGGGTGAGGACTGTTCTGTTATTTCCTAGTCTTTTTCATTTGTGTATTTCTACATATTTACTATTTACAGTGAGCCACAGCTGGAGTCAGGTTACTGTACTACGTGGTCTTAAATATAACCTGTTAGTAGAGTTCTTGTGTCCTTGCTTTATACCTCAAACCCATCCTGAAAACAACGTGAAACTCTGACAATAAGTTAAAAGCTTTGGAGGGATTACACCGCCTTATTGAGTCTGTGCCCAAAGTCCTTTGAGGATTCCCATTGACTCCAGTAGGATTTGGTTCAGACTCAAGTGTATAGAATTCCCTTAAGTAAACTTTTTCAAGGCCCATACGTGCTGCAGTACTTATTGGGCTCTTTGTTACCTATGTGAATAGGAATGCAACCTTTACACTTTCAACAAAGTGCACTGATTTACAAAACTAATTCTCCTCATCTGGGAAGAGATGAAGTCACCTCCTGACCCCTCCCAACTCAGCTGAGAGGTTGATCAAGCAATTTCTGAACCATGTTCATTTTAGGCAATGAGCCATAAATAGAGCTTCTTCATAAGCAGATGCCCATAAATGATGATGGGCAGGGTACACATCTGAGGGTGTAAGTTGTTCCAATTCATGAGTCAGTGCCCAAGCAGTATTCTTTTCACCACTGCTGAATCATTCAGATACCCACATTAGAAGATCCTTTAGTCAGTGCACATAATAAAAGTTGCCATGTTAGCGGTTTGCAAATTCCTGTACAATAAAGTAATATTAAAAAAGAATCTATCTAGGCTTTGTTTTATACGCATCCTTGGTCATGTGAGGAGAGGGAGAGATAAACAAGATGGAAGAAGATCATATCAGGCTGTATGCTGTTTGTTATCCTGCTCATTGCCACCTCAATTAATAGCATAATGTGCCTTTCCTGCTTCTAGAGCTGGAGTTTAGCTTCTGGTAACCTTGTGTCCCAACCCTGTTGTTCAAAAGAAGAAAATAAAATGAGTGAGCAGAGCAGTTTGATTGACAGTGCTATTTTCTAACTGTATTTTAGGTCACTTCCTGGGTAACAACACTGTGATTGATGTACTGAGACAAGCAGGATTTGAAGTGGAGCACACCCCTCCTGGACAACCGATTGGAAAGTAAGCAGCTGCCCACAGATTATTAATCATTTTCTTTCCTTATCTTTTTTTCTTCTTCTTTTTTTTTCTCTAATGAAGCGAGATTATTGCCTTAGTAAAGGAAGTGGATGAGGGGATGTGGCACCTTCCATTCCCACCCAAATTCCAGACAAAAACTGTGCTATCAAGCATCCATAATATGAGTCTGGAAAATTAGGGAGCTTCAGTGGCTGTTCCTTTCACTTGTGAACATTATTCCTATCACAGCTGCTTAATACTACCAGATCAAGGACACTGCAGTTTCTTCCTGTTTTCGAGAAAAGTCTTTGTTCTGGTAGTTTGCCCCATAATTTTTTTTTCTCCATGGGTTTTGGTTGCTTCTCCAGTGCAGAACAGTGAAGTGCCACCAAATTCCTTTCTCTGTCAGGCTATCTTCTTCAGGTGGGATTTCAGTTTTGCCTGAAGGACTGTGTTGAATGTAGCAGATGCATCTTACGTTCTGGATAGTGAGCTGTACAGGTAAAAAGTGTTTGAATATTCCCCAAGCGTCTCCATCCATCTGATCAAGTGTAAAGCAGGCAAGGAAGACTGATACCAGGCTCTGGGCAATCTTCATTAGTATAAGGTGAAGTACAGCACAAAACTGTCCTCAGCTACTGAAACAGATTTCCTTCTTTCCATAGACTTCTCTTTCCTGACAGTTCAGATGATGTCTTTGTTTGCTTGAGGTTATGAATATCTTAGAAAATAAAACTGGAAGAGGTGGTGAGATACTGTTAGGCTTGCAAAGTTAACCTTTTCCCTGCAATCCGCAGATAAAAATTGGCTGAGATTTCCCCATCATAGGATTGTTATCCTCATTAGGATAAAATGTTAGCAGCATGGTCCTGTTCCTGGGGAGGCCAGCATGACTTAGTCCAAATATGAGGCGAGTTTCAGGATGGTGGAATTAATTGGGGGGTTAGGAGATCATGTCTGAAAAAGCTATGTTTCTTGTACTTGGAAAAATCTGTCAGATTCAGCCTTGTTTGTGAAACAGTCACAATGATTTATATAGAATATAATATGGCTCAACTGTATAAGTGCCTTTGACAGAACATTTATCCTAAATGATTCTTAGAATATGTTGAGCCATAGAAGCCCGGTCTTAAATAACAATGGGAAGAAGTGGAAGAAAAAAACTAACACAAAGCAGAGCAAATATTCAGAGGAGGTTTAAGAAGCACTTGTGACAGTGAGGAAAAGTCAATGTGACACAGGAAGAGTTGTAAATGCCTTAACTGCCTGGAGCTTAAAATTTTGGCTAAAATGAATCAAAAAGCCTGTGTCTGAAAATACAGCAAAACAAAATCCAAGCAATCAATAACAACAGCTGAGTTTTACAGTTCCTGCAGGGACGCAGTTCCTGCATTTCTGACAAAAGCCTTCCTTTCAGGGAGGTATTTTCCGTTGTAATTTTCATTCAACTGAAAGTATCATCATGAAAAGTATTTAAGCTGAAAACTGTGAAAATTCTTAATTTATTGGCTGCTTGCAAGTCTTTGAGAAGTGTGAGAAAGACCCCAAAACAGTCTCTGTTCTTTATGGTCTTGGGATATGCCTTTGTAAGTCATCGCAGGCTTGATGGAACACGATTGGGCAGGAAAAGTGAAACAATGCCACTACTTAATGTTGACCAATTTGCAATGTGGGGGTTTCTCTGTGTATATCAACTTTGGCAGCAACATGTCTTTTCCATGATGGTCTTTCCTGAAGTTGTCAGTTCCTGGGAAAAATGAGTCAACATATATACAAGAGCTGCTCTGTAAGTAATACCTCCTGTTTTATTACTTTGGCTTCCAGTGTCAGAGGTGGATGTTGGTGGCATGGCAGTAGAGGCTGAACCTTCCCACCATTATTATGTTACATTTTGTCACCATATGGCACTCCATGTGGAAAAAACTGCACTCATTGACATACATCAATGCTTGCTGAATGTTTATGGAAAACCAAACAGTGGATGTTAGTACAGTGAGGTGGTAGGTGGTGCATTTCTGCAGTTGCAACAGAGAGAAAGACAAAGCGTGTTCTGGATAACCATACAAATTTTTATGAGCGTGACATGCAGGCTCTTGTGCATCGCTGGCAAAAATGCATAGCTAGTGGTGGTGACTGTGTTGAAAAATAATGTTCTGTAGCTGAGAATTTGCTCTATCAAATAGTGTTACTGGGTTCTTTGTCATTTTTTCCTTGGAAATATATAGGAGGCGTTACTTTCAGACCGACCTATTTACAATATTGATGTGCATATTTGACATATGTTGACATTTGTGAGTATTGGACTGAGTTGAGAGAGGGCATAGTGGTTGTATGTAGTAAATAGCAGTTGTACTCTGTAAAGATGAGATGTTCTGTTAATGAATCTGTATGTATTCCTATTGTCTGATCATTTTTGTTTTTCCTTCTGTTCTTTTTTTTGCTTTTCTCCTTCCTCTTTAAAAGATGAAATTTGAAAACAACTACAAGGGCCCACAGGAGGAGATGTTTTTGAGGTATTAGCTACACTAAGCCTATGTATACACTGAATAAACACGTAAAAGCTCAAAACAGATTTTGAGCTGTTTGAAGGAAGAAATGGTTTTATGAATCACTGAGATGCAGGTGGCTTTGTCTTATTTCATGTATGGCTCCACAAGAAACAGGACGTCTTTCTCTCCTCTGCTTAAACCCATAGAGACATTTCTGCTTTACTTTGAAGTAGGCTTTGTAAAGGAGTCCAGCCTACTGCATTGCATTCTGGCACTGGCAGCTGAAAAATCAGATGGTTTTCAGGGAAGGTCATCTGGACTCTAATGTAGAGAGTTGAGGAGGGAGCTGTGGACAGCACGTGGAAAAAATGTAAGGACTGGAAGAAGAAAAAAAACAGCTGCATGCTTATGTTTTGGCCAAGGGAATTCAAAATTCTTGTGTATATTATATTCTTGTGTGTATTCTTGTGCACGTATTGTGCCCAGAGAAGCCAAGAGGAATGATTAGACCTGGCATGCAGGAACTTCCAGAGGTCTATCATATCTAGACTAAGGTTGGTTATGGCTGATTACTTTGGCTGCTTCGTGACATGAAGTGGCATGAAGCTAGATGGTCTTTCTCAGGTTAAATCAGAAGCCTTGTTTTTTGAAATGATGAAAGTAACCTTAGCAAAACACCAGTGCTACTTCCTACTTAATGAGAAAAAAGCTGGTTTGGTTGGGTGTTTTGTTGTTGTTGTTGTTGTTGTTGTTTGATTGTTTTTGTTTATTTGTTTGTTTTTTAGCTCTTTGTTCCTACAATAGTATAATTACTGTTATGATTGAAATGATCAGTAGTCTGAACTTCATTGTTCAATACTGAGCACTATGAAGCATTATTGTCACAATTAGGTGGGGTAGCACGGAATCAAGTTTAACCTCTACCATCCATTTCAATTTCAGAATGCACAACAGAATACTCTTTAGAAAGAACTACTATTGTTCCCATGTTTCAGAAAAACCTTGAGAAGAGCTGAACAGCACAAAAGCAAAGCTGTCTCAGCTTTGTTACATTCAGGCTGGGTAAAACCAGGTGGTTTTTAGCATCTTGTGTCCAGAATGCTTAGCACACATTATTAAATGGCTCATCTTGAAGACAACCAAGGTGCATACCTAGAGTTTCATTTTTCTTTTGTCTAGTGACAAGCACAATTTTGAGCCAAGCTCTTACCTTCTTAAGGTGCTGGAGAAAAGTAAAGTGAGACTTCGGCAGGCTGGAAGAGATAGCCAAAACATGGGGGGTTTTCATTACTGCAGAATGAGTGAACTGGAAAGGAAAAGTTTGTGTAAAGTACATTTAGGTGCTGTAAGGTATTTGGGAGCTCTCACTTGATGGATTTCTGAAATGCCCTATCAGCTGTTATTCCACCTGGTGGTTCTATGCTGACCTTTCTGAGTCCCATCTATAACCCCACTAGCTGACTATTGAAAATACCTACTTTAAAACTCAATCTTTTTCTGTAAAAAATACTCTCTTGTACTCAGAATGCAGAACCATGCTGTAAACACTTAAGGACTTGTCCTCACACTGGCTTCACGTATTTAATTCAGTGCCTGATGGAAGGTGTCCTGAATCTATTTGCCTGACAAACATCGGCATTCGTATTTTCTTCCTATTTTGTTGGCCTTTGCTGTTGTCCCCAAATAAAAGCACTGGGAAAGGAGAAGTATCTCATTGCATTGCCCTGAGATGAATAAGAGGCAGTTTTTATTTCTGGGGTTCAGACCAATTGGCTGTCCTTGGCAGGCTCTTTGGAGAGCAGAGCTGTCTGGGTTGTGGAGAGAAGAGAGAAGGGAGAAAGTTAGATGGATTCCAGTGACTTGAGCAGATAAGGGGCCACAGCTGCTTCATATTTAATTGGAAACAGCCAAATTGCAAGATCAATTCAGGAAGCACCTGTGTCCAGTGATGACTCTCTATTGTTACTGAGTTCTCAGAATCGGCTTTGACCTTCTGCCATGTGTTGAGCCTTGACATACTGCAAACGCTTTTCTAGGCTAAAAAAAACACACTGCTGTGCTCATTTCCATCAGACTTCTCTTTCAGATATTATGTTCAATGCTGCCTTCTTTCAAAATGGAAGAATTCCTGACAGTCTTTCATTTCTGACCATCTGAGAATTTACTGTGAACTCTCAGAGCTCTGCTGTAGAAATTAATTACCCTTCCTCTTTATGGTTGAACTTCCTGGCCCAAACGAAGCAACGTGTCTTTGCAGTTGTAGCTTCTCCTGTTCTTTCTGAAGCAAAGAGCTTGCTCGTTCTCCTTTTCCCACAGCATCCTACAGGTGACCCTGGCTCCTCAGCATCAGCTCTGTCTCATAATGGAAGTTTTTTTGCTTCACTATAAATGTTTTTTTGTTTCTCAAAGGATGAAAGCACACCCGATCCACACATTGATGCAGCTTTTTCATTCCATCCAGATTCATGACTTTTAAAATCCAGTGTGCAAAGCTGGGTGGAAAGTGTTTGGCAC